GTAGGAATTTCTTGATTTTCTATGTAGACAAACACCAACATGTTAGTGATTTCTCTCTCTCTCTTTTTTTTAATTTAAGCCTTTTCTAGTTATATAACTTTGGGGCACATGGTTAAACTATGCCTTAGTGATCTCATGTAAAATAAGATAATAATTACCCACCTCAAAGGAAACAACACAATGCCTGGCACATACTAAACAGCCAGCAAATACTGATCATTGTTATTTTATTCTTGATGTTGTTACACTGGTTCAAAGATAAAATTACCTCGATTTTTATATATGTTTTTTCTTTTCCTGTCTAATGACCTATTTCTCTGTTTACAGAAGAGATGTATGCATTTATCATAGTTTTAAGTCATTCCAGGTTTTTAAACATACAATATTTAAGTGAAATTTCCTGTTAACTAGGTCAATTCCCCTCGTTTTTGGATTTCATACCTTTTTCTCTCTTATATCAAATTCCTCCCTCCCTTCGCTCACTCTGTCTCTCTTGAAGTACATCTTATTTCAGAATGAGTTCTTGGGAGATAATTATTTTTAAACGAAGCAATTTTAATATTGTGATCATGGTGCAGATAAACCCTTTGGTTTTAGGATCTTCTTAATAATTAACTAGTTATGGTCTGAGGCTTTCCACATTGCTATATACTCATTGTAATTATTTTTAGTGACTAGATTGTACCACATTGGGGTCATACTCTCAGTTATCCTCATCTTGTGGAATGTTTTGGTGATTTTGAACTTGGGTGAATGTAGTTATCATCCTTTTAAGTCATTTCAGGTTAAATAATTTGGAACTTCCTCCTTCAGACAGACTTGTACTTGGAACACTAAATTATGTTACTACCTGTGATCATTAGAATGAAAAATATCTGTGTGTGGGTGTGGTTGTATACAGTGATTTTTCAGAAAGATATGTGTAGGTCAGGTTTTTTCCTTTTTTTCCTTATCTTTTCTATCTTTTTCTTTTCTCTCTTTTCTATTTCTTTTTTCTCTTTCCTGATTTTTCTTCAGATTTTACTTTTATACCTAAGTAAGAATTTTAAAAATTGCAAATGTGTAAAGACATAGCTGGAATAAATTGAAAATGTAAAATATTTGTTTTTATTAGGCATGGGATCATCACATTGCAGGCCTTTTCAGAAGCTAACCGGAAACTCTGGCTCGAAGCCATGGATGGGAAAGAACCAGTAAGAATATAACACATTTTATTTAGGTTTTGTTGCTCTAATAATTACAAAGTATGTCTGGGGAAAAAATACATCTGAAATTTTTATATATCTGTAAATATATGAAAATATTAAAATAGCAAGTCTGAGGAGTAGAAACTTACTATTTTCCTGATGTTGTCTCGCTCACTGACACACAGCACCAACTTTGTAATTTGTTTCTCAGGAGGACTTTCAGGACTAACACCCTAAAATTATTTATTAAAAATTACTTCTAGTAATTAATTTGGCTTCACTGATTAAATTATTCTATGCAGTTAATAATTATTGAATGCCAGGTCTTTGTCCGGTCTTCGTAATCAGCGTGATAAACAAGATGCAGGGTAATAACTAATCCTTATAGTCTTATTTGGTAAAACTGCCTGTGAGTTGACATTTTCTTCTCATCCATATCTTTATTTTTCTAATAGTTATTTTGATGTTGGCATAATCACTTACAGTTATTAGGGCGTTTTATCTAAAAATAAATAAATGATTAATCACTGTCTGTTTTCTTTATAAAGAATATGGCTTTAGATGGTTAGGGGATGAGCACACAGAGCAACTGTGAGGCCACAGTCTGTCCCTTGAGAACTGTCCTATAGGTGGCAGAGAACCTATGAGCAACCTTGTCAAAGGCTGTGTCACAGCAGAGCTGCACCAAGTGTGGTCTCCAGACCGTGAGACCATCCCTCACACAGTTACCTGCGCATGAGGAGATGAGCGCAGAACTCATGATTAAGCATCTGGAAAATTTTGTACTAATCTGAAGAGGTCATTTTATATTTGTTGAACTTAACGAGAAATTTTGATTTCATATCTATTCTTTATTATGTTTATGATATTTAAATTTTACTGTAATTTACAAACATAGCAGTCAATGGTAGATTGAAAATTAAACAAAACGATTAGAGTTTTCACCACTTAACTGAGAGGCAAGATCTGACCAAGGGCAGATGTAGAAGGCAGCGTGGCAGCTCAGCAAGTACACGTTAGGATTGTACGTGCTGAAAAGGACACACTAAGCAGATCATTTGAGTAAGGAGCAAGCAGGCAAAACCCATCATGAGATACTTTATCAAGAAGGGCTGTTATGCGTTATGTCGGGGAATAGAATGACACTCGTAAATCAGATGGAAGGAGGTAGAACTCTACCCAGGGCAGGACAGCCAGGGATGAAAGGAATGGGAGGCAAGGTTGGTTACAGGATGGGGAGGTGGCGCTGTGGATGCAGCAGTTGTAGGACCTTGAAGTCAAGACACTCCTCTGTGGAGCACTGCACCAGTATCACCCTGGTAATCGTCTGTACTGCGTCGTTAACTGCAAGTAACTGATGGACTCCCCTTGTTTTTTAGATTTACACCCTGCCTGCCATTATGAGCAAGAAAGAAGAAAGTAAGTTGTTTTAATAAGTATTTAAATTTTTATCACACAGTTATTTTTAATCACAAAGCTATTATGTGATATTAAGAGTTAGCTGTAGAAAAATGATATTAGCACATCTTTGATTGGATGGGGAATAAAATTCATTTAAAGAAGTTTCTCGTGTTAAAACTACTAACAACTGATATCATAGTAACCAAAATTAAGTTTTCTTTCTTTGGTGTCTACTAAAAGGTATGTACCTTGCTCTATCCCAGAAAGAGATTTGAGGCAGTTGATATTTAGCTTGTTTGTTTTTGTTGTTGTTTTTAATGGCAGTAGGAGGGCTTATTTATCTTATTTTCTCTGCTCCAATTTATAAGACTAAAGACTTGGATACTTTATGCTAATTTTAGGAGATTGTGCTCAAGAATGTGGAATGTCAGGACATTGTCTTAGCACATGGGATATGTAGGAACACATGTTATCACTGTATTATTATTGAATCCTTAGCATCAAACCATTCTTAACAGATACACTGTATGTGTTTTCCATTCCATTCTAAATCCTCTTTCAAATTATCTTCCACCTCTTGCCTTCTTTTACCCTTGATTATTTTAGGGTATACTATATGTCATTAGATTACTTGACATTTAAAACTAGTTTGTATGTTTCTAAGGTTATTTGTATGTCTTTTAAAGCAATTTCAAATTTTATTTAACTCAATTGACTTTCTCTCATAATGTCTAAATTTATTTTTAAAACAGACTTAATAATCTTGGCTTTTAAATTGCTGTTAAGATACAAGTTAGAGTGGAGTAAATATAAAAACTGGGGAAGCGCTCATTTGAAAATCATAAATATTGAGTATATGAAAAAGCCTCTATTTTAACTGAAGGAAATTCTTCCTAGTAATTAATTTAAAAAATCATCAAAAGAAAATGCATAATTTAAAATAACCTTTAATATTAAAGATTTTAAAAAATACTTTCAGGGTTTATTCTTACATTTCTTTCTCAATTGCTAATCAAGGAAAGTGATCAGTATAGAATCTTTCATTATCCACTTGTATCTAATCACAGAAACATTAACCAATGGATTAAGAGTTTTGTAAGTACTGAATGTTAATTCTAAACAATTACCTAAAAAGTAATTTGTTGTATGATTTGCATTTGAGTAGAGTTTGAAATGTGTTTTCTAACATTGGCCTCATTACATATCCATTATAAAGACAAATGATCTACTCAGGGATGAATCTTTCTTTAAAAACAACTGAACTTGTATATGGTATTGAATAAGGCTTTTGAATGGAGAAATGGTCAAGTCAGAATATACTTGATACTTAATGTACCTAAGGAACTAGGGTTTCTGTCATAATTAGAAATTTAAATAAGAAAGTTATCAAATATACTCATGCTGTGATGGAGGGAGAAGGTACTTCTTCATGCCATAAAAATTTTCTCTTCTGGAAAACTGCTTTTCTATAGTCTAAGCCACCTGAAACATCACTGTACCACCATAATAAAAGGGTAATATGCTAATTAGACCAGATGGCAAGACCTTCCGGATGACATTCCAGATGACCTTCCGGACAAAGCCAGGGCTACAAGGGCTGAGGCAGCAGCCAGGACTGCTGCTGTGGGGACCGAGGCAGCAGCCGGGGCTGCTGCTGCCTTGGCCCACAGAGACCCTTGCATGAATTTTGTGCATTGGTCCTCTAGTCTACACTAATAAAAGAGAAACATGGTAATTAGCGTACGACAGCTACCCTTCCTATTGGCTAATCAGCATATCCTTATGCAAATTAACTGTCAGCCAAGATGGCAGCTGGCATCCATGCACTGAAGCGAGCAGGGAGGCTTGCTTGCTCCAGTGACGGCGAACTCCAACGTTCCCCGCCTGAGTTGCTGGCCTCTCAGCTGCAACTCTAAGCAACTATGTACTATGTTGCAAATA